CTTTTTTGTAAATTAGCTTCATTTCTGTCCGACAAGCTGTCAGTTTGCCTGGAAACGTGCATCTTTAGGATTGGCCGACTGATGCATCAACATCACTTCCCATGAGTAACTTATACTGCTAAAAAAGAACTCAACGATTCTTTAAAAACAACTCCTGATTCACTGGGAAATTAGTTTCAATGCCATCATCTATATATTTCCTCATATATAAAATGCAGATGTTAGTATTCAACAAGAGGCCAGAGGAATAAACTACAATGTGATACAAATGTGAAAATTAAGATATTTAAAAACAGACTGCAACTCAATTCAGGAAGTTTTCATATGAAATCATCATCAACCCTGAAAACTATGTTAACTGTTAATTTAGCTAAGTTTAACGAGATTCTCAGGCACAAAAATTAAGCTTTATATCCCTAATACTGAAATAAATTAAGATAGCGAGAACAGCATGTACATGTACTAATTGTCTGATACCAGCAACACATCAGTGGAATTGTATGAGTAGCAGCAGCACAACAGAAACGAACCCCAGGCAAAAATCTATGACATTACATTAAGGCTCCAAAATGGACATGCCACTGGGAGGCTGACTGCTGTCTGACTGCTTTGTTGAGCAGCAGCCATCAATAGTGGTGGCTGGCCTTTTCAGAAGTTACAGTACATACTGCTCACAGCCTGCAGTCAGGGAGGAGTTCAGCTGAATATAATTGCCTTTTCTAGACAAACAAAAAGGAGAATGTTGTTTGATAGGTATTTGCAGCGACAAAGGTATACTTTACTGCATGTTACATATTATACCAAACACAGCCTATAGTTTACAAATATTACAAAGAGGCTGTTCTGTCCATTATAAACAGTCTTATCTTTACCTAAAGAGATAAGACTACTGACTCTGCAGTAGACACATGCTTTCCATGCCTGTAAAAGTACTATGACTATTCGTCTAATTAGGCACTGAAAGTGGCTTTAAATGACTAACTAATACATGTGTTTTAGAAACAAACAAGGGAGTATGGGAGGAATACGGCTTATTTATGGCCCAGTTATAAAAGTAACCTTTCACAATCATTTGGGTTGTAGTAGAGTTAAAACATTAACCTTGAATAGGTTTCCGTGCGTTACCTCAAATTTGACAAAGTTATGATGCTGTGGGATTTAAATGGAAACATATTTCTGACTCATTCTCGTGTTTACAGCATCTGGATGGCATCAACCTTTTTATTTACTACACCACTGACAACACTATGACCAATGAATAACTCGATTTTTCAGACAATACTCCACCAGAATAATTACCAAAAAGTGAGGACGTAGGGAGAAATTAACCACTGATAAACAGCTATTTAAATGAATAGTAGGCTATTCGTAACAGTTTGTTACCAATGTGAATTAGCCGAGGTTTAAACAGGCCTTTCAACGAAAGCCCCAACCCTGGGTTCAAGCAGGCAAAAACACACACAGCAGGCTTATAAGTCACAGGAATTTGATTTAAATCCACTGCTCTGTACCCGCAGGGGTTGCCAGGTTGGTAGTGTGAAAACCTCTGAACACTGTGTTTAAATAACCAGGCTGCTGTGCTGATAGCTAGCTTAGCATTGGGGCTCGCCCACAGCCTCTAAATAAAGCTAACTAGCCCCTTTCAGCTAAACTAATATAATTTACAAACTGTAATTCGTTAATGCTATATTGTCTGCATCATATGCCCGAACAAAGTCATTATTATTCATTCAAAGGGGAAGGGTGCATATTCTGAAGCCGCCATTGACAGGCTAGCCCAAAGGTCTGCATTGCAGGGCCAGGCGTTAGGTTAACAATTGGGCGTAGTTTGCACTGACAACGACATTTTTTTCCCCCATTATAATGCTATTGATCAGTGGTTATATGTGGGGAAAACTCACTTATCTTATAATTTAGTGGTCACAATGTTGCAACAAACCGCAAGTGACACACATTTATAAAATGTATCCATTTGTTTTACCTTTTAGCGAGTGGAGTTCCGCGTCCGAAGTAGCGACCAAATAAGTCAAGCTGATAATCCTCTCGTTTCACACGATCTCTGCATTTCCTATTTCACACCGAAACGCCCGCATTTAAGTCGGTCTACCTCGTATCAAAAGCAAGTGGGAACATGCAAAAAACGTGGGCAAATTAATCGATTGAACTTTCCATCTGATCCAGCGTCCGGCCCTAGCTGCTCAGGTTGGCCTCCTTAAAGCGAATATGGGCGGATACCGGGGCGCACTTTACCCAGAAAGCATAGCTGGGGATTTCAACCGGTTTGGGGCATATCGCTGTTATGTGTCGCAATGTGCCCAACAATACGCTCTCTTTTGTCCTTTTTCAACATACTATTGGTGTTTTTATTCTAATAAACTATATGTTAGATATCAAAAAAAACAGTGATCCTTCAAACGTAGCCTCATACACACGTTATTAGGATCATTTGAAATGTTAAGATCGTTTTTTTTATTACATATCATTGGAAGTACTTCATCACATTAATAATGTAATGATCAAACATAATATTGTAACTCTGTGGGTCACATGGTGTCAGTTTCCTTTCAGTATCGTGATCCCTTACTGCTGCCTGCTGCAGAGTCAACAAAGCCTAGGGGGCGACTCCACTATATATAGGGTCTAAATATAACCGAATAGTGCTGGAGGGACGTCATTCCCAGGCAAGGGAAATGATTTGGCAATCCCTTGTCAGTTTTCCAAAGTGTTCGCTGGGCTGCCTCCTGCGCACTCTTTACGCATAAACACATTCGTTAAAAAACAAAACAAAACGAAAATTCTCCCCGATTAAGAACGATGAGACCAAAGTATGGATTTATACACATTTACTTACTTGGTTGATTAAGTTATTTAACGACGAAAATTCATGTGAGTGAATTGCTCTTTTAAAAGACGTCGTAAGCTTACGATTAATGTAATATTATGATCTATTCATTCAAACGTGAAGCCTGCTGCAATTATACAAAAAAATGTACGGCATAAAAGGCCATTACAAAATATATAAAAAGAAACACTGTTCTACTTGTGTTTTATTTTTGTTTTACTTCACACAGCAGACACACTATAGAGGTCACTATTGAATTCTTGTCTGGCAGTTCTCCAAGCTGCAAGCCTCTGCCGAGAATATGTTGTTTGGAATAAGTAACGGCCCTTTTTTAATCAAAGTGCCAACTGTTTTTATTCTCAAAACAGTATTGGTTATGCATGTCATGTTATCTAAAGGGAAACACTGGTTATTCATATAAGAAAGTTAAAATAAAAGGTTCATATTGTGCAAAACGATTATATCAGAATAAATCTGTGTCTGCTGCTTATGTGCCTGTGTCCTTAAAAATGACCGACATAGTGCCCTTATGCTCTGTAAGTGAGTGGTTCATTAATTAGGACCATGTCAACATTTGTGTCCATCTATATTGTATTTATCTATTGTAATTCTGCATATGCTACAATTGGGTGCTTCGGACTGGGACTCCAATACAAACTATACACATTTGTATTTTTTAAAAGTACAGAAATCACAACAAGGATTTCATAAGGAGCACATTGGTTATCAAATCCATCTGTACCTCTGTGGTCTGCATGGAGCCCCGTTTTTGTAAGATGAGGGTTAATGAGCACATATTATGTGCAGAGTATAGTGATACGACCATATTTGAGACTGGAATTGCGTGTTAATTATCCCATTTTGTAATATGTTACCAGCTTCTTTTATTCACATTTAAAATACATGTTTTATCCAGTATTCAAACATATAATAGGATGTGATGAAACATAGAAATGTTTTTCAATTAAATAGTTTATAGTTAGACATTCATATTGGAAAGAAACATATTTACTCGCAGAATGGTCCCTTACTGAGACACTAAAGAGCAATCATTGAAGTTATTATTTACACCTGTTATTTCCTGCTGGTTAAATTGTCTGTTGGAATAAGTTTTTTAAATGGTTTGAAATTCAAATGGTATTCATAAGTTATGACTTCATTTTTTGAAATGAAGCCCTTATGTCTATTTTATGAAGAGACTTCATGTTCAGATAATACAATTGTTACCCTGACCTGCAGTCTTTAACCAGATGTGGTTACTTTAACTGCAATATATAATTTAGAAGACACTTTTTAGAGATATGACAGTTCCAGCTGACATTTCAATACAACAGGAAATATGTTCTGTCACAAGAGGGCAGCAAGTCTCCACTGATGGTCCCGTTGTCAAAGGCCTATCTGCCCCAGTTAAATGTGCTGTTTGTTTTCATTCACTATTTATTTGACTATTTGTTGGAGCTGCACAGTGACTAAAATAGCTGCCATTTTAAATATATGTTCATGTCGGTTAACCCAACATGTTCTACCAAATGTGCTACTCTATATTATAAACAATACATAATGACTTAATCCTTCTTTGCCTTTATGGTGTGCTGAAATATGTTAATGAATTTAAACTGCATGGTATAATTTGCAATTTTAATTTAAGATGATGTGTTGCAATAGTATTTCATAACATTGGTCTCTAGGAAAACAGATGAATGATGACCACTTTCACTATATCTGCATAATGTTAAATCCTGAATGACTCTCGTGGCCTCTTATTCATTAACAAAGTTTACGCAAGGAAACTGAACATTTCAATTATCTATCAATGATTGATTCGGTTTTGCTCACAGCAACTGCTGATGTTAGTATGTTAATTTGGGTTATATCTGCATAAGATCAGGTATCAGGACCCCCTTTATTGATCCCTAGAGGGGCAATTCAGGTGCTACATTAACACAAAGAAAGACATGTAGCCTTAAAATAGTAAACATAAAATAAAGATGTGTATACCAGAGTTTAAATTATATATAATGATCCATGTTTGTTGGAAATAGGCTGTTAAGATGTCCTGAATGTGTAAAAGTTGGCTGAAGGTGGCCTCCCCTCAGAGTGTATTGCCGCTTTAAACGGTCCACAATGCCTTGCGGTGTCCCAGTTCCAATGCGATGTATTTACCAGCAGGAGTAATGAAACGGGGAGAGGGGCTTTTTCCGCAGCTTAATGCTGAGACCTTATGCTGAGACCGCAGGATACCAGCACACAGAGAGGACAGACAGACACAAACTTTCGGACAGAGGACCGAAACGTCATTTATCTGCTTTGCAGTCTTTAATTCAGTTGTGTCTGTCCAGCAGCCAAACGATACTTTGTCGCAGTTCGTTGGAAGTGATTTGCTGGGCAACGGTAAAGAAGAACACATTTTGCGGATTTTACGCCTTTACCTGTGTTTTCCCCCTAAACTTCACTTCGGATAGGGAGCACAGAGTTAAATCCTATTTGCTCCATAAAGGTAAGAACATTACACGGACCTAATAATAGCAGAGTGTGCTGCAGCTGAGCCCGTTGTAGTTGTGAGGCTGAGATAACGGAAACATTTCTGTAGTAGAATAGTTCGGCTATAGCCTACTCTGTGAGCCCACTACGGCCCATTATCGCCATTTCTCCAGCCTCGTCCCACTCAACACAACAATATGAAGCAGGGGTGCAGTGAAAGATGCTAAAGTGTTCTGTCTTGTGGGATGTTAAAGGCTAATGCTGCTTTTCATTTGTAAATATGAGAGATGGGATGACTTGGAAACAAGTTTAGTTGGATGATCAAGCCTTTATCTTGTGTGTTTTCGCAGATGTTTTGTATCATAAGTGTTGCATAACGTTGCTTTGCAATTTTTTCACAGTTGTGTCTATCAGCAGGTTCAGCATCTTCTGTAAATATAACGACCTCTCTTGGTTTGAAAAATCTTACATTCATCATTAATCACAACAACATTGAGGTGTAAAATCGCTTCTTCCATCTCAAGTTGCATTGCTCCACATAACTTACTAACACACACCAGGTGCAGCAGAGCCAACCTGTGGAGCTGCTGCACTCAGCCAAGTTGTATGTCACACAGTACACTTTGTGATCTAGAGGCCTGCTTTAGTTCAGAAATAGAATCCAGTATTTCAGTGGCCCTTCCATCTGATAATGTCACAGCACCATGAAGACCAGGCGGCAAAGAACCACCCACAGACTGGAAACATAAATAAGTGTTGCCACTTTTGTGTGTGCAGGTGCCACTTACTGCACACACAAATTCAGTTCTATAAATGTTTAAAAATGCAAGAGTGTGATTCAGTACCAGATGATGTTTTGCAAACCACTATAACATGTAAACCTTGGTTAGGGGCCTCTTGTGGCCCCGCTGAGCCTCTGCCCCGGACCTGGAGCCTGCTGGCTCTTCAAAGCTGGCTAGAGAGCAGTGAATATGGCAAGGGAACAAAGGCGGCATTATTGCTGGCCGAACGTGCCGTCCAGATGTTCAGGATCCTGCCAGCACTGACCTCCCAAATGGGGGAGGCTGCTCCATCCCCTAATAGTTTAATATCATCCAGGCAGAGAGAGAAAGAGGTAGGCTGCTCCAGGGCAAGAGCCTCTGGAAAGCTCTCGGGAGCTGAGGGTGTAGCCTCTAGCGTGACAACACTGGGTTTAATCCCAAACACCCAGGTCTTCAGAAAAGTGATAGAACGAAATTTGAAATAGGAACTTCATTCTGGGCAATGCCTCCTTCTTTGTTAATATAACTTGGGCAAAAAACAACAAACTCTTCCCAAAAGCTTAACAAAACAATGTTTAATGAAATAGGCCTACATTCCTTTCTGCTTATAAATGCTGCAGCCTCTTTTAGCCTCTGATTAAATGGTGGTATGTGCAATGTCTCCTTTAATTATGTATTAATTAACATTCATCTATTTAGCAGGCATTAGGGCTTGTCTTGAGGAAGAGGCTAATGCAACTTAGACACTACATTAACTGAGAGGAGGCTGACATCGTGCGCAGCAGCAGCTTTTAGGAACTTTACTACATCTTTTTTTATTTCAGATGCATCAACTCAAGGATTTCAACTATTCAAAAGGTTGCTTACACACATTGTTTTGTGATTACTCACTTGAGATAGGATGCATCCTGTTGAAGTGTCATTGCATAGCTGTGGCCTGTTGCATAGCCATCAAGATCTCAGAGGGACGCAGCCATCGCTTTCTTGTCTCTTAGTCATGGCCCGTTGCATTCTCACAGCCCAGGAATGCGTACCCTGGATGTTATCAGTTTCCCCTCGACAGGATCAAGGCCTGTCTCTGGCAACAGTCTTTGCCCTGCTTCGTATGTTTACATTTGCAAAAGGTATTGTATGCCCTCCAGACTGTCTCACTGATATTCCAATCCAACTTTATTTATATAGAACATTCAAAAACATCAGAGTTGACCAAAGTGCTGTACATCAATACATATATAAAAAGCTGCATAAATACATTTAGACAAAACCGATAGCACAAAAAACACGAGACAATAAAACCATACTTATACCCACAGACTGAAAAACTCTCATACATGATGTAAGAACAATATAAAACACAAGAAAATTAAAATCACACACTGATAAGTCGTGTTCTGCAGAAGCACGGGAGAACAAGTAGGTCTTTAAACGAGATTTAGAAACAGGCAAAGTGGGAGCAAGTCTGATTGGGGGGGTAGATCGTTCCACAGCCTGGGAGCAGACCAGATAAAGAAGCTCCTGATATTGAGGAGCTTCTTTATCTGCTTCCCACTGAAAGTCCCTTCACTTTTAAACCACGGGGGTCCCATCTCATTGGTGCATCTTATATTAAACTGTTGAGAAATCCAGTTAGTTCCAACTGTTTTCACCGACACGCATCCACAACAAACCAGCGTCTGTCTCTGGCTCTTACAGAGATGTATTTCACAACAGATCTGTTACCAATTACAGCAAAGTATAAATTGTTAGTAATTACATGTTGCTCTACAGGGAGTGCAATTTGAATTAAAGTTTGGTTAGCAATAGGCAACAAGGTTTAAGTACTAGAACATACTGCTGTCGTATCAGTCTGAATGAAGTATCCCATTGTCTTTAATTAACAGCATTGTAGGGGTGTTCTGCACGTCGGAAACCTTCTGTAATAAATTAGTTGCTAGTTGTAATAAGCCGCTTGGAGATACATTCCTTCAAACTTACAATGCCTTACTGAACAATGGCTTGTACATTTGGACAGGAGCCAAGGTGTAACGATGTCGATTCGTGGAAGTAGTACTTGGAACGTTGTGTTTTCCTGTGAGATCATTTTACCCAACTCGGTTCAGTCGCTGCCCTGCAGGCTTTCTCCTGAGTCGAGCTCAGTCTTGGTTTTCTTTAATTGCAATGAATGCACATTTTGTTTTCCCCAAATACCCCTTTTGTTCAGCAAACTGGTACACTGCACGGAACTCATGCCCCTTTGTGATGCTTGACGGACTGTACATCCCCAAAAGAAGCAGTGCCATATTTAATCTCCTACGGAAGGAACTCCCACAGAATGTCTCCTTGGCGTATGTTACAGCAATGGTTGCTCGTGATGAAACCCCAACAGGAGCATATGGTTGGTTGTTTACACCAGCAGCCAGCTGAAGCTCTTTTTCTGCCAGCTCTGTGTGCTCCTGTAGGCCTGGAGAAATGTCACCAGCAGCCGGGCGGCAGGCTGCTCACACACCTCACTGCTCTGAGAGGAAAGCATCTTGAGTCAACACTACTGAACCAAAAGAACTCTGAAATAAGCATTCTCTGAAGTCATGAGGAGTTTGATGTTTCACTGCAGTTGATCGTCTACTCTCAACTGAGCTTAAGTAGAACTCACAGGAATGTAAGCCCTCCTCTGTCTCATCAAATGCCCCTCTGGCATGAGATGAGCCGCACAAATCAGGGAGCGGGCATCTCCCCAGGCTGAGGCTTTGACAGGCCGGAGCGTGCAGAGCTCAGGATGGCACTCTGCCCCACACCGCTGTGCCTGGATCATCAGTCGGACTTTCTAGGTTAATGTTAACCAATATAAATGTTACTAGTCTGGACCAGAGCACATTTATAAAAACCCGCTGAGTCTTGTTGGGCTTGTGCAAGAAAGAGCCATTGATTCAGTTTTTGTTTGAACAGTTTTTGTAATTTGTCTGCGTGAAAAAACCTTTTTGAATGTTGTTCATGCTGATGCAGTATTCTGTGCAGTCCTTTTAAATCCTTTCCAGTTCATTCTTGTTAAAGGTGGTCGAGTATTGTTTTAGGCTCCTTCCCCTTCCCCCTCCAGTTTATCCAAACCTTCTTCCCGGCTGATCCACTATGCCTGCTTTGCATCAAGACCTACTCAGTCCCTATTACTGTTCCCCCTGAAAGACGGGTTAAACAAAATGGTGACAGAGTTCTGTGTCAGTGTAGAGAAGTCTCAGTGTGCTTGTGTGTGACCCTTTTCCTGTGCGTCTCCATCCCTCAGCCCTTAATGCCATTTAAGGGTTGTCTGAATCAGTGGCGTAGCCAGGAATTATTGTGTGGGTGGGCCTGGAGAAATGTAGGTGGGCCAGGGGGAGACATATTAAGCGTGGGGTCTGAGCTGAAACTTCATTAATGATTTTAATGATTTTGTAATGCACTAATAGAACATAAGCATACATTAGCAGTGAAAACAAAAACATAGGCACGGCGGCCTCAGAATGTGTGTAAAACTGACATCCACATAGGGATGGGTATCGTTAAGGCTTTAACGGTACTACTGCTTTTATCGATAGCGCTTATGTTTATGCTCCAGGTTCAGTACCAACCACATCATAAAGTACGCGGACCATACAACAGTGGTGGGACTCATCAGGGACAACAACGAACAGGCCTACAGGGAGGAGGTGAAACATCTGACAGACTGGTGTAACACCAACAACCTGATCCTGAATGTTGATAAAACAAAAGAGATGATTGTCGACTTCAGGAACAAAAAGCACTGTCACCCACCACTCCACATCAATGGCACAGCAGTGAAGACTACAGACAGCACCAAGTTCCTGGGGGTGCATATCACAAGCAGTCTGACCTGGTCCACTCACACGACATCACTATTTAAGAAGGCACAGCAGCGCCTACACTTCCTGCACAGCTCTCCCCTCCCATCCTCACCACGTTCTACAGAGGAACCATAGAGAGCGTGCTGACCATCTCCATCTGGTCGAGAGACAGCCACACCAAAGACTGGAAGTCTCTGCAGAGAGTGGTCAGGACAGCAGAGAAGATCATCTGAGTTTCTCTCCCTCCCATCAGAGACACCGCTCAGAAACGCTGCCTGACAAAAGCCCAGAACATTTTGAAAGACCCCACTCATCCTCACCTTGCTCTGTTCTCCCTGCTGCACTCCGGCAAGAGGTTCCGCAGCATTAAGAGCAAAACAGCCAGATTCTGCAATAGCTTTTCCCCCAAGCCATCAGACTGCTGAACAGCAAGTAGACCAGTAACACAGAGATTACATTACGCTGTGTAAGACCACTTGTTATATAATATGTCTATTTTATTTATATGTATAGTAAGTCTTTATATTTTAAACGCACACTTTATCTTTAATTTTATCAGCACCACGTCACTATTATTTATTTATATGTACAATTTTATCAAGTTTTTATATTATCCTGTTCCTGTAAGCCAGTACGTTTGAATAGTACACTCTGTGTCTTGTTGAAATGACAATAAAGTATGTCTATCTCTATGTCTTATCGATCCGGTCCTTTAACATTACTTTTATCGGTTATTTTGGAGAAAAAAATAAGGTAAACTAACTAAACAAATTGTGAACAAAACTAACATTGCTTTTTATTTCAATTAAATACATAATATTTCACATCAAAAGAAACAACAATGTTTTAACAAATCGTATTAAATAATCTGATGACAGAATTGTGAACAGAATAGCTGAAACTTTAACCAAATAACTAACTCAGTTTCCTCTAATCATTAACCCATGTTTGTATCATGTAGTTAACTCTGTGTGTTGCTGCTAGCATACATAACACCTGACGTGGAAACGTTACTCGTGGATGGGGCTACAGAGCTACGAGAAAGACAGTTGAACCCGGTGCATTTCTCCGTCTGAATGTGGAGCACTTTTGCTAAATGTTTAGACAAATTGCTCGTGTTACCGCCCTTAAATGCTAAACTCTTATTGCACTTTTGGTAACGAGTATTGTCCACATCGACACGGCTATAGTTTAACCACCTCGGAGCGCGTTCTCTCCGCCATCTCCTCCGTGTGTGTGTGTTTGCTGCATGTAGCAGCTGCGTGTGTGTAAACTACCCCGCCCCCTCGCTCATTCACTAACGGCAAAAGTTACTTTACTTACTATAAAAACTCACGGTAAAAAAATGCACTCCCTATTCCATTGTCATGAAGGTGGAATCTAACTATATCCAGAATACGTTTTATTGGATCCAGGCTAGAAACATGTTTATTTCTGCTGTAAAGTTGGGCAATTTAACATGGGGGTCTATGGGAATTGCTCCTTTTTGCATCCATCCCCTGTCGGCCACTAGATGAACTGCAGTTTGTGGCACTTCCTTCTGGGCTTCCCGGCTCTGCGCTATGAAGCGCTGATTGGCTGTGGGTGGGCCAGACGTGCATGTGGGTGGGCCCACCCACAGCTACGCCACTGGTCTGAATGAAGGACAAAAGCACTTTCCAACCAGCTGTGAATGGGCCAGGAATAGAGTGATCAAGAGTCCAGGCCACTGACAAAGGTGACACTTACGTACATACAAATGCACAGACAGAACATATTTGATCAAGACACAATGAGATACACACACTTAAAACACACTTCAGTCCCTGAATGTCCTGAGTTTCAGTTTGTTTGTAGAGCTTGAATGATTAGTCGATGAATCAGTAAGGCAATCTACTTAAAATTACAAAAACAATGTCAGTACTATATGATTCATACCAATCATCCCACTCATTAGGATACTTATCAACAATGAAAATCATTAGTTGGAGCTCTATCGCTTTATCAAACTCCACAAATGTTTCCTCGCAGCGCTTGCTAATGTCTTTACCATATTTAGAAAGCCATTGTTGGCGTGTAGGACAGGCTGGTGTGGGTGACTTTGTGGATGGGGACTAGGGAGAGGGGAGGTGTAATTGGTGGGGGGTTGGCGAACAAAAGGACCTTTTGACTCAGTAGTGTAGGTGCAGTGAAGGTTAGATCCACGGAGAGTGATACAGATCTGGGGAGATGCCATTCATTCTCTCTCTGTGCACTTTCCTTGAAGAATGCCTTGAAGGATTCCATTGGATAGGTTTTTCATACACTGTGTTGTATCTCATCTTTAATATATTTTCACACAAACAGAAAGATTGACATACAGTTGACTTTGAATATGTGCTCTGATAGCTGATTTTGTGACTCTTTTAAAAAGCATCAGTTGGTAGAAATCGTATCAAAACCAGCTTTATAAAGACAGCCCGGCACCTCGAATATCTTACATTTGTACTCATATCATACTATTGACTGTTCTTATAACGAATAAAGGACACAACTATGCGTTACAGAACAGTGAAAATAACTGAGTCATGCAAAAACAAACCCCTACTCTGCTCCCTCGTGTTATGATTCATCTCCCTTTTCCTTTTTAACTACATTTTCATGCCTTCTCTGTTTCACTCGGTGTTCCCGTCCTCTCTGTGTCACTGAGTCAATCTTCCTGTTCTGTTTTCACTGCCTTCATGTCATTTTCTCTACAAAAGCAGGAACTGGTCTTGGGAATGTCTGCTGGCAGTCTCTTCCTGCGCCCCCAACAGACATGTACCTATTCATAGAGAAGAACAAAACAACAGCGTTATGGCCAGCTGGTCGTGGCATACCTAGCTGTGCAGGTCCATTCTCCACTGGACTATCCTTTTACTTTCAGCTAAGGCTAAAATAATTGTCCTTACCTATTATTTTCTGCTCTATTTGACTACTCGTGTTCAAATGTTTTACTAAAGGGGGAAGCGTTTGCATATCTGTGTCTGTTAAACGTAATCCTTTTATGCCACTGATCATTTTAGCCGTGGCCTTGAGCACATCCTGACTAACCGCTTCCTGTTTTCCCCTGTGTTTCCTCCACAGAGACGTAGCCAGAGGGGCTTCAGCTGCCCTGCACCACTGGAGCCTTCAATAATGTCGGGGCCAATACACCACAACCAGCCCCTTCGCTTCTGACCCAACATGGAGCTCAAGGTCTGGGTGGATGGAGTCCAGAGGGTCGTCTGCGGGGTCACGGAGGCCACCACCTGCCAAGAGGTGGTGATCGCTCTGGCACAGGCCATAGGTAGATCATTTTCAGATTATTAATACAAGCACACGTGATATACAAAAAGGCATGTTTAAACTCTGCTGGGATGTATTGTTGACATCCTCATTCCGGGAAATTTGATTCATTATGAATTGGGCTGTGTCCAATAACCTCGAGGTAAACTGATTCAAAACAAGGCTTCGGTCATAAGAATCATTGCTACACTAAATAATTAACCTAATAGCTCATCCAGTTGGTTTAATCCATCACTATATTTTGGGCTCATATATACACAAGAATGAGTTTTGTGTGAATCCAGAAAGATTATATTTGTTAACAAATACTGTGTTGTGAGGTTTGTGTTCCTCTGATTTGTTGATTAAGTTACCCCACTGTGGGTTTCACAAGGAACATTCAATTCCCCGTGACCCGCTGAATTCCTATAACAAAGCCACTTTTGTCATTATTTTGTTTTTGTACTTTGTCCACATCCGGTCAGTAGTGCTAGTGAACTCCGGCAATGCATTGGGTTATAAAAGGAGCTGACACTTCAGGCTGTCGGCAAACTTTATTCCAGAGCATATCTAACCCTGTGTGCTAACTTTAACCTTCTGTATGTTGCCTACTAGCATGCACAAATCAGCTTCATGTTAGTTACAGGTTGATCTGACTGTTTAATAATAATAATAATAATAATAATAATAATAATACATTTAATTCTCCCTCTACAATGTAAGTTCTTTGTTAGTGAACATGGTATTCACTTTCTTTCTTCACACTTTCAATACTTAAAGCTGCAAAACCTTATGAAGCCTACCCATCAAGGGTATTGCTAAGCGTCCAACAACCTACAATCTGAGTATGACGCAAACTCCACATTTAGCTAAAAAAAGCCCTTCTGAATTAAACAAGTATTTGAGTCTTCTCCCTACATGTTAAGCTCCTGCTGGGATACAGTGGCTCATAGTCAGAGGCTTTAGTACTTGCTTGGATCTAAGCAGCCCCCTTCCCATGTGGCTCCTCCAGGAACGGGGGCACTTGAGCAGCCTGTATTGACATCACTTCCCTCAAAGCGCAGGGAGGGAAGAGGGAAAGTCTGACTCATCCTTCAGTCTCCTGCCAAACTGAGGAAGTAGCCCCCTCCTCTGCTTTATTCTGTTAAAAACATACACCATGTTAAGTGATCAGACGTCAATATTGATTTAGTACTTTGGCCTTTCACAAGGGTTTCTGTCTATACTGCTACAACTGTTGTGTTTGGGTTTCCTCTACACAGCATTAACCCTTGTGTGGTGTTCATATGTGTGTTACTCAGCCAGTGTTCGTGGGTCTGGTGGACCCGCTGCCATTTTGGGCTTCAATTCAACACAATCAAACTATTTTATGTAAAAATACTCAACAGATGTTTACTTCATCCCAATTACAAGCAATATAAACAACATATATGGTTAATATTTGCCCTTTTACATTTGTTAGATCACATTAATGAATTAAAGTGCTACTTGTTTTTTTGCCTGCTGACCAGCTGGTCCTGTGGCTCGTCGTTTTTTTGTAACTAGATGATGCTCAATCTCATCCTCTTCTTCAAAGTCACTGTCAGACTCAGAATTCTGATTCTCACATTCTGAAACCTCTTCCTCTTCCTCTACATCATCATCAAATGGTTCTCTCTCTTCCAAAATCATTTGGAAGGCCCTCTGAGCAGAGAATCGTTTGGCCATCTTGATCAGTTGTGATAAGGACCCAAACTGGCACGCACTTACGCACTCACTCACTCACTCACTCACTCACTCACTCACTCACTCACTCACTCACTCACTCACTCTCACACACACATACACACACACACACACACACACACACACACACACACACACACACACACACACACACACATACACACACACACACACACACACAAGGCCCAGACAGGTGCACAGGACCTACAACTTCCACACTTTTGTTAGCCCCGGGTCCCTGTATGTAATGTAAATGCGTAGGGGGGGGGGGGGGGTGGTCATTGAAAATGTTTTCTGATATATGTTCTTCACAGAATTGAGCCAAGGCCATTGAGTGTGAGTTTGAAACAATAATTTATCATATAATTTTTCTTTAGCTAAATAATGAAAACGGGTCCCACAGACCCGAACACCATACAAGGGTTAAGCAATTGATAAACATTTAATCAAATCCTATGTGAAATGGTTGCTGATAAACCACGAGAAACACCCAGCAGTGCAGCTCCTTGCAGCTTTAATAATAAATAAAAAAATTATAGCGCTTTTCCCAGTGCTCAAAGACGCTTTACACAAAATCAGAATCAGAAACAGCACAAGGAAAACAAAAAATCACAAACAGTAGTCCTAATCCAAGTGCGAGCCTCTTTTTAAATGATTGTTCAGTTCACAGCCTTTCATTTCCCTTTACGTTCATTCAGCTCACTTCTGAAACCACTCTGCACTGTTCTTAGAACCAAACGTACACAAGCTGGATGAAATGCAAGTGTTTTAGTTGTTAGGTCACCAGAACCAACAGGATGATAAAACGGCTCTGTGTCTGATAAATAGGAGAGATGGTCACATGTTATCTTAACAGTTAGATGAGAGGATGGTAAATCATGGCTAAGAGTTCATATTGACTCTTCATCCCAGTTCATATCTTTGCAGGTTGCTTTCCCAGCCACCAGCATAAGAATATGTTGCTTATACTTTTTCTTTTTTGTCTTTTTCAGGTCGCACGGGGAGATACACTCTAGTAGAAAAATGGCGGGACAGCGAGCGTCACCTGGCCCCTCATGAAAGCCCTGTAGCTTCTCTGAACACCTGGGGTCAGTATGCTGGGGACGTCCAGCTCATCCTGCATCGCACTGGCCCCTCCCTGACTGAACGTCCCCCCTCAGAAGGACCCCCTCTAAGAGGTCCTGAACGCGGGCTGCATCGGCAGAGCCTCCCTCCCCTTGCAAAGCTTCGCCATCCTAACGATCGCTCCCTCCGCCGTCGAGAACCGCGCCGCAAGTCTCTGACGTTCACCGGGGCCCCCAGAGGCCTCAGGGAGATACTGAGTGGAGGCCGAATGGGCGAGGCGGAGGCTAAACGCAGACTCTTCATGGGTAACGGTGGGAATCACAACCACGCAGGACCGGCCATGGGGACCGCCTCCCCCGGCAGGTGGGCCTGTCGCATGGAGGACCTGGTCAGACTGGTGGGCATACAGAGGGAGACGCTCAACGTTCTGGTGAACAAGCTGGGAGCCTATGAGGCGGAGCTCCAGGTGTGGGCTGAAGGGCGAGGGGGCCGCGGCGGAGGGTCCATCGGGGACCCAGATGGAGGAGGCGGGCTGATAAAGGAGATCCTGAGGCTGGAGAAGCATCTGCGGAAGAACGACGTGGAGATGGAGGAGGAGGAGTTTTGGGCCACTGAGCTGCAAATTGAGCTGGAGAGTGAGAGGCAGCTGGAGGAGAGACTGCAGGAGCTGATGGGACGCATGCAGGGCTGTGAAGTGGAGATTGAAGAAAGGCTGGCAATGGTACAGGTGTGCTATGTTTGGGCGAATTTCAGGTTATTCAATCAAAATCCTGTATTTTAGCAGCAGCTTTGGGAAAAAGATTAAAAAAGAACCAGCTAAGAAACAAACAAAGACACCGATTTTTGATATTGTAGTGGTTGCTAGCTACCTCTTCCATAACTGTTTATCTCTTTGTCCCCTCAGAGTGTGGATGCAGGCCTGGAGGAGGAGCGGCTGCAGAGGGAGCGGCAGGAGACCCAGTGGGTCAGTGAGGCAGAGGCTCGGGCGCAGATGCTCAGGGTCAAATCAGAAATGAAAGCCCAGGAGAGACAGGCCGTCCAGCTGGAGAGCAGCTGCAGAGCTGTGGACCGCTCACTTGGACAAAGCAGCAAGAAGCTGCAGGTAAGACATACTGTATGCATGCATGCATGCAGGGATAAGGGAGACCATACATCAGTAATAATGCATTTAAGCATCTGTCCACCTGAAGTATCCCTTCACACGATGCTTCAAACCTGCCAATGCAAAGGGGATCTTTTTTCACTTTGAAATGTGTTGAAAGGGGAATGCTGGATCTGTAAGTGTAGGTAAAAAATAGTCATATAAAGCCTTCTTCAGTTACCAGAGAGATGAGAAATTGAAGGCTTCTCAATACTCTTATTTTCCCTTGTTGACTCCCCTCCTTGACTCCTATCCTCGTGTCTTAGTCCAGCCCACAGGAGATGCGAGCGGAGGAGTCGAGGAGGGGAACCGAGGAGAGAGGAGGGGAAGCAGCAGGCGGTTAGAGAAATTAGAAATCCTCTCCTCCTCCTTCTCATTTTAAAGAGACGTCCATTAATGATGACAGGAGGCACAGCAGCCCTCTGTCTGATGGACAGAACTGTGTTCATGACCACTTATATTTACTTTTAATTCATTCACAGTATGAGAGCACTCTCATAATAACGTAATACAATCAGAGACTGGATATATCCCCCCCCTCTCTCTGGTCGCTGAAATGGGGAATTTAAATTACGGGCCAAAAGTTGTATTTACAAGTATTAAAAGTAAGCAGAGGACACCAAACCAACTGAGACCCGTCCGTCCGCCGCATCTACGCACTGTACAACACACACCTACACACTGTACCACACACACACCTACACACTGTACCACACGCACCTACACACTGTACAACACACACACCTACACACTGTACCACACGCACCTACACACTGTACCACACGCACTTACACACTGTAGCCTACCACACACACCTACAGCTCCTAAAGCATAATCAGGCTACAGCCGTTGTGTATTATATTATGTGAAGCACTAAATGGTCTTAGAAAAATATCGACTCTTTGTTTGTAGATATCTACTAAACTACAGCATACAAATACAGAGAGTAATGTAGGCCAGTTATACTGAGTGATATATATTATACACACTGCTCTGCTTTCTGCACAGACCTCACAGCTCTTCTCACTGTAAACATAAGCAGTTACTAAAATAATATCCAGGGGATGCATGCAGAGCTGTCATTGGCTGAGATAAGTCCGGCCGTGCGTCACGCCTCCACCGTTCCCGGAAATGCATCCGCGGAGGAGCCGTGGAGGATGCATCAGTGTATCCTCGATCATAGCTCCTCCAGAGAGCCTCCTCGATGCTCGGTCCTCAATGTGCATTTAGAGAAATTAGATGTCCTTCAACATGGCGCGCTGAAATCCATTTCTGGGCCACTACCGGAGGACCGAGGAGTCGAGGAGGGGAAATTAGAGTATTGAGAAGCCTTCGTTGACTCATGTGACTCACTTTGATGTCCTTTTAGATGGGATGCCTAGACTTTAAATACTAAAACACAGACTCATATATCATCATCAGAGCTGTTGGTATTCCTCTTATGTTTCCTCAAGAATGACTCTCTTCACTGTTCCTTTGAAGGGCATGCAGCAGGAGCTGGAACAGCTGACCAAGGAGCTGAGGCAGGTTAACCTGCAGCAGTTCATCAAGCAGACCGGCACCAAGGTCACAGTGCTGCCGGCCGAAGCCTCCGAGGAGGACAGTCCTCACAGCACGCATGGCATAGGTAAGAGATTTTCTTACTAACATTAGATTTGTGGAATTTGTTCTCTCATATATAGTGTTCTGTACGCCAAGGTATCTCTTCCTGTTGTTCTATGACATGTAGGGAACTGAGCTGGTGACTACAGTGCAGACAGTAACATATACGGGTCGCTTGTTGTAAGTAATGGTCCGTCAGGAGTTCAAACGGAATTGTATGTCAAACTGCATACTGCCTGAGGTTAAACGCTTTATGATTGCCATTCATGCAGGAATCTCATGACTTATTTCAATAAGAGTGCATGAAGTGCTGTTCTTTTCCATCAAGGCACTTTTATTATTTTTTCCTCATATCTTAACAGCCTGCTGAGAGAAAATGACTCAAATGTGAGGGTGCGTGCATGTGAGAGAGATTGTTATCAAGAAAATTATGAGGGGAGAGGGGGGGGGGGGGTTGTGGATGTGGAGAGAACAGTGTTAGTTTTTACCCACTCAGTGGCTATTATAGTCACCATGCCAACAGCTGCCTGGATACTGGCAGACATGATGTCATTCATTCACCTTACTCTCTCTGTCCGTCTCACTGCTTCCATCACGCTGTTACTCTATCACATGCTCAGCAGTTTCTGTGATGGGCTCATTGTACCAAGGCTCATCCTACAGCAGCAAAGCAGAGAGCTGATGCAGAGCTAAGAGCATTGATTCATGGGACAGCTGTCACAATGCAACATTTGTTGACCAGCTGGTTATTCAAACTACAGTCATAAACTACCCACAGCGTAATTAGTGACTAAAGGTAATTAAGATTGACTTTGAGGAGAAAGTTTGAGGTTTGGGACTAAAGTAGTGCATCGTGTTTAAATCAGGGACATGCACCAATTTGTAAAAATAAGCTTGGGAGCAATAAGACTTGAAAAATAAAGTGTGCAAACTAAAGCACAGGAATACATATCTAAATGCACATTTACATGCACAAACATTAAACTAAACCTCCCCCCATTCCATGAATAATTTAGTTTTCCACATGCACCCTGCCTTTAAAACTGTATGTAAAAGTTGCTTATGGGATTCCATGCTGCACTTGAAATGTTTAAAAATAATAAAGATTGCAGACCAGTCTACTCATGCATGAACCACATGGTTGTGTGAAACATGGAAAAGCATATGGAGAAATAACTTAACGCAGTCATAGTGATGGTGACCTTTTCCCCTTGATTTGATTTGATTTAAGATTAAAGATGTAACACAGTTGAATTTCTCCCCTCTCCAAAGAGCCCAGATATCTTTCTGATTGCATGACATGCACTTCATCATTGCATGCATTGAGAGCAGTAGGTCTCTTTATTAAACCTAGCAGTGATAATTCAATTATAAAAAAGTAATGAATTGAGTGTCCTTCTAGTAACCTTCCGTTTTATGTGGGTAAAATCAGCTTTGGTGCCAGGCCATAACAAATCTCTGCATCGGCTAATTCTCTGCTTGGCTCAGTACTGCCCCCTGGTGGCTCTTAGCAGCGATATCATGTAGCATCCACTGGGCTTCATTGTTTATTCAAACAAGTAATTGAATGGGGTTTCTTATCAATTTGAAGTGTTTGGAAAAACAAAACCATACAATAAGTTTGTGTAAAATCTCTCTGTTTATTTTCAGCACTGCAACTTTTAAAACCCACATTTTTTCTTCCTTATGTCTTTTTAATTTTTAAGATTTAGTTCCCCTGTCTGGCTCCCTGAAGCGCCCCGTTTCGCATGCGATGTCTAGTCACCTCCGGGTCCTCCACAGCCCCATGACTTCAGGCCTGAACCCAGAGGGGATCTATGTGTGAACCGTCTCCCACCCTGAGCCCAGAACACGCGTCTGTAAGTGGATATCATTGTACAGGATACCTCGGTGGAACTCTACTATGCACTGTCTCGAATACAGGAGGCACCCTGGAGTGTGAAGACTCACAGAGTGAAGGAACAAAGATGATTTTGACAAGGAAGTCATAGAGCACTTAGTGGGAATGAAAGATGTCATGGTGCTCAGTTTCTGAACTTACGAGGACTTCAAAATCAATATCCGGCTGTTGTGGACGTCCTTTATAAACATATCCACTTAACGTACTTTTACTCTCACTTTATTACCTGCTGAATGATTTGTATTGTTTTCTCACTTGCATCATGATTCTAAACGATTGCCTTTTGAACAGTATTCTTGACAACCTTGGTATGTGAATTTATGAATTATACCTCTAAAGTTATATGTATTTTCTGCAGTGAAAACGGCATAATGAATTGTTCTTATATAAGAAATGAAGGATCCACTTGTGTCAATATTAAACCAGTCTAGAATATATCGTTTTGCATTTCAGAATGTATTCCTGTAGCTCTGATTGTCTGTTCATGTTAAAACTATGCACAACTGGTCAATAGTTTTGTTACCGAAGAATGTTACTGTCCGTATGTACCAACATGTTGGCTAACTGTAAATATGTTTTCTTACTTTTCAGCTTTATTTAGAGAATTATTATATTTATTACAGAGGTTACAGAATATACAGTGCCCTCATTCCCGCTACAATGTCTGCATAATGAAACAGTGTTAATTACCCTCTTAAGCTTTTATTTGTTGTTTAGATGACTACATGGTATGTTTTTGCCAAATGTATTATGCTTCTTTTTTTTCTGTGTAAGGATTGGTGGCCAAAGATTAGCAAGTCTTGTTGCATGATTGTCGTACTATAACCATACCTGGATGTGCAGAGCACCCGCAGTACAGTAAATCAGTTAGTTGACTCTAAAAATGGTGGCATGCTATAATACAATGGATAGCTACAGTGTGTATGAGAGTGTGATTGAGTCAGCGATTAAAGAGATTTGTGTGTGTGCAGAGTCGGGAATGTCAAGGTATGAAGCCCCTCTTAGGTTGTAGTGCAGCTGCTAATCACATCAAAGTGCCTTATTCATTCCACAGTTGGTGTATTCATATGATGACAGCAAAGCTTTAGTAGAAAACATTGAAGCAATGATCTAGTCAGTTTAGATCTGATGTTGCTAGATGTATTAGTGGCACATTGCTGCACAGAGAGAAATGGCAATAGCACAGCATCAACGAGAAAACTGTAATCATGTTTTTGTCAGTATTTTATAAAAAAATGGAGAAAATGTTACTGATAGCGTGTCTCATTCTGACAATGTATTATTGACACCATCATACTATGTGATGTAAAATGCATTTACATTATCTGATTTATTTTGTCATCATGCAACACATACTGTTTACTGTAATTACCAGAATAAGAGATGTATTGGTCCTGAGAGAGATGTATTAGAGTTAGAGAACATCAGTACCATCATTACATGTCACTTGTTAGACGCTTTTATCCAAAGCGACTTACATACTCAATACTGTGGACAATCCCCACAGGAGCAATTTGGGGTGAAGTGTCTTTCCCAGGGACACAAGAACATGCTGACTGCAGTGGGGTTCCACTGATCCGAACACCAACGCACTATCCACTGTGCCACAGCCTCCTGGGTTCCACCACCCAGGAATAACTATGTAAAACAGAAGCAAAGTCCACCCTTTAACATTTAGCATCTACAAAAACCCTCATCAGGACATACCGTTTTAAATTCTTAGGTTTGAGATCATCTCTATATCGGGGCAGAATTTCCCTTTAAGAAATCACTTGTGTGCATTTTCCACCTGTGGATGAGATGTAGTTTTGGTCACTGTTTACAACCATAATGTTCTATAGAACTGTACGATGTCAACATAACCTGTTTTTATTTTTGTCCTGCCTTAATATACTGCAAGTGTTGACAGATGTATGGCTGCAACTGGCTGCTGATATGACATGGATTGCATGATTCAATAAACCATCTGACAAAATGAAAAGTGTCACAACCGGTGCTCATTGTAACGGTTTGCCTGTGGATGTAAGGGAGAAGGTGTTTGTCCAGTGTGTGCTCTTCATGCTTTTCAATCCTTTCGCCAGGAGATGGAGACATTTACTTAGTAATGGTAGAAACAGGGTCACAACATGGCTGGGAGAAAATTAAAGGAGAAGCTTGTTTTTCCCACAGAAGAATGAAATTACAAGAAATGTCAGCTTATAAAATGCATATTTATGCAATAACAAAAAAAGTTTATAAGAGTGAGTAGCCGGTAAAAAAAAAGGCAAAGTTGCTCTCATAGGTCAATGATAATACTGAGCTACAACTGTGAATCCCGTCAGGTCATACTTTATTGTAATTTGAGGTGAGAAAGGAAGGTTACTTACAAAAAAGGAAAACAGCTAATTGAATGTGTTTTCCCCAAACCTTGAAAGGCATAGTTTGACTGTAACTGGACTGCATTGTTGCCAGGATCATTAGAAAGCCTCACGTCAGAGACATGAGTTTCAAAGCTGTTGAAATTATGCATAAAGATTAAAACTATATTGCAGATAGTCAGTACATGTTAACAACAAAGACTGGGTTTGATCCTGCTTAAAGCTTCTGACAAGTGTGGAGGAGGCCCCTTGTTTTTCATCATCGTGTACAGACTGAGTGTAATCTCACTTCATCATCACATGACATGTGTTTAAAGCCTTGGTCTGTAAATTCCCTGCTGTGACCTGTCAGCTGATTAAAGTCTTAGCAACAATACATTTCATCTACTAGCCTTCCAGTAGTGTGTATTCATAATACTGTACTCTGAACTGTTTTGTGCAAACACTCGTGCATTGTTTCCCGAGTCAGAAATTTGACATGTACGTAGTTGTTGGAAAAGTTTCACACATTCTCACTGAGCTTTCCTGCTTTTGCTAACATTTGAGACTGTAGGCATAAACATAATTTGTGTTAAACAAGAAGAAGTCTGCAGAGTTTAATTTTGATATTTATTTTACAACTCATCAGCAATAATTTAGAACAGCATATGTGTAAAGCATTAACGAAATGTGCAACAGTTGCTCAGTTAAATCTTTTAAAAAATCCATAGACTTCTACAACATTGACATAGACATGTATACTTTATGGAATATTCACAAAAATACTTCTATTTACAGACACACATGCCACTTTATATAACAGTGTATAACAGATTTGAGGCAAAACCAGCTGAAGTAAAATACGAAAGCAATATCATGTATGCAAAATACAATGAAAATCTGTTTATTCTGTCACGTGTGAAACTTAAAAAGTGGAACAACACTACATTGCAGGAATCTTAATCTCTTAGAAAACAGGCCAAGTTAAAGATCCTAAATCTTCATTATCAAGTGTAGGTCACATGACCACAGCTGCTTTAACACGTAAGTCAAATATTTGAAAGCAAGGTTTTACATAATGAAAGCATAAAAGACACAATCAGGGATCGTGTTGTAGAGTGCAGGGTTTTCAAATCTGATTATGATTTACATGTTTGCAAGTCAAAAACAGAAATAAACATTGTTTTATCAAATCTGGCTTCATCACCCATTTACTACATTAATTAATCTCAAAGCATTTGGTATCTCTGCTCTCTCTTCTGAAATGAAATGAAATGAAATGTTCTTATTTCAAGACAACTCAACACAATACAAAGGTTCTGAGAGAACTACAGTGTTTGACTTTCAAAATGATGAGGCGACTGTTTGGGGGGAGTAAAAGCAAAAGAAAGGTGCATTTTAAAGAGTAAAGATCATCCTACATACAAACTTTACCAGCTGGGAAAATACAGGTACATTCAATATCAAAGATCTATAAGGGGCTATATCCTACAATGTTTCCTGGAGGTTCAGGAGGTCACTGCATCTCTGTGTTGAGATGCTTCATTCCATTTGGGGGACGTACAATATTCTGTTCAAGCAGCTCCTTGTGAATAAAGGGTTTCTGAACTAATTCACTGATTGGTTTTTCTTTACTTCAAGTACAAAAAGTAAAGGAAACTCAGGTCTCTACAAATTAGTTGAGGGCAACCATGGCATAATACCTTAACCTTTATATCACCATGTATTGTTTTTATGTGTAAAGTAACTGTTTTTGTATGTATTGATGGAAATGGAGTGTCTGATGGTGGGATCAATGACAGTTACCTCCATGTCAGCCTAACCCGTGCACAATTGGGGATGAGGTACTGTGGGCGTTTCATTTCTCGAGAGCACTTATTTTATTGGGGCCCTTTACATGTCAATCAGCAAGACTGTCTTTCAGGTAATAATATTTACAGTCAAAGTCAGCCAGGCTCTTAGCAACCTTGGCAGAGGTCAGTTGTAACTTCATACATCCAAAGAGACTCGCTGAATGGGATATTGCGCACTGTTGTAGTACTCAAAGTTTGGCACCAATGCTGCCACTTCAAAATATGTTATCAAAGAGGATATAAAATTAGCTCCAGCACAACACAGCCGTGTATTTATGTCAATCATTGTCGATAATCCTTTAGATGTATTAATCTAGCATAAGTGCAAAAGGCACACTCCGTCACAACTGTCCCCTGTTTCGCCAGGATATTGAACATGAGAAACTCTTCTGTGAAACCTCGTTTTAAAACTAGTCTAATTTGATGAAAAGAAACTCCTCAACAGGAAGGTTAACAGACAAATTAGCTGGTTTGACAAACAGAAAACTGATCGTGCGGGCTATTCTTGCTCTCCGACGCATCAGCTACGTCATCCTCCTCTTCGTCACTCGCGGGACTTTCCTCGCGCTCATCTGGTGAACCTATGTCAGCCTCGTGCAGCTCGTCGCTGTCTGGACTGTGAGAGTCATTGGACTGAGGAGAGGCTCCAAAGTGCACAGAGAGTCCGGGGAAAGCGGCTGCGGCTGACGCTTGTGCGGGGTAGAGCCAGGGGAAAGGGGAGGCAAGAGCCGCGGCAGGGTACATGTACTTTTCAATGTTGCTTTTGTCGAAAAAAGGCATATAAGACGCCGCGGCTGTGGGGTTGATGAAGTAGAAAGGCATGCAAATGGGTGTCTGCTGTCCCACAGTGCTTATTCCCATCAGAGAGTTCATAAACGCCAGGTCGGGTCTGGTGGGCTCAGTGCCCCCTAACCCGTTCCCAGGCCAGGTCATCTTTGGTTTTTTGGCAGCGCGATCGTCTCCAAACTCTTGCTTGATCTTCACTGCCTTGGGTCCCTGCGCCTTATTGCGGTCACATTCTTTATCTTTGCCATCAATCTTTTCCGCCTCGCCCCCGTATCCACTGTCCGTGTCTGTATCATTCTCGTTAAGCTCCCCGCCTTGGGTCCTCTGGATGACCGGGACACAGTTAGCTTGGCCGTCGGCTTTCTGCCCATCATGTGCCTCCCCCGCGGGAAGCTGGTGCTGGAGCGGCGGTGCGCCTGGCTGGAACTGCGCCAGCACCTTGTGAAGGTGGCTGATCAGCTGCGCGCACCTCTCCTCTCGTGCAGTCCAGTTTTCAAACTGACTCAGGTACTGCAGGACTTCTTTGGCACATGCCTGGAACCCGGAGTGGAACGCATCCAGATCTGCATGAATGGACGTTTTCATCGACCGGTCTCCTGCAAAATAGTTGCAAGGATAACATTATTATTCTAAAGGTGTATAATAAAGCAATGACAAGATGATTCTGTTAACGTATTTTCGAATTGCACAATATTTTCTTTGCTCTATTCATGTACATTTTCTGCTGCTGTAAAACTAGACTTCCTCGGACTATTACATTTTAATGCAACACATTTCTATATTAACTTCAGGTTTGTCAGCTCACCATTCTGCAAAGCGACAATCTTCTGGTGCTGCTGCTCAGTGACAGCAGTCAGAGCGTTTAAATGTTTCAACGTTAACTCCAGGACAACAGCTTTCTCCAAATGCCCGAGTGTCTATTGAGAGAAACAAAACATATGTTCAGTTAGCTGTTTAAGACAACTAATCTCATGTAAAGCCATATTCGCGTAAAAACCCTTTGCAGTGTCATGGACTCACCGACAGCTTCAGATGTTCGGGTAACAAATCCTTCAGCTGGCCAATACATTCGTTGATTCTGTCTCTCCTCTTCTTCTCTATCAACCGGTGTGGTAACTTGTATGCTTCCTGCTGGAAATAAACAGGCGTTTAGCGTTTTTAAACACACATTGATATATATTTAAAGTTATTGTAGTACATGTGAACATATCCATGAGTTTCATGCACACACAAATGTTGGTTCATGAAACAACAAACTACATTTTTAGATCGCATTATAGCCTATAATAAACCTTACGCACCTTCCCACCGTCCTCTCGTTTTATTCCTCTTTTTGCTTTGCACATGTAGAGAGAGGGGTAATCCACCCTAAAGTCAAGAATGACGACAGATTATTCACCAGGTTGTCACAACAGTTTATCAGACAGTTTGACAGAGTTTGCCAAAAGCGACACTCACCCTAAGAAATCTGCGTGCTCCATGAACTGCCTGTCCTCTAAATGCGGTATTCTTTCATCCATCGCTTCTCTGCTGCTGCTTATCCGCTCCGGAGCTTCTTTGGGAATGTTTGTTATTCCACGACCCGCACACACGCTATGCCGGCTGAGGGAGATGATGCACAGTGCGTGTCCTCCAGTGGAGCTGCTCTTCAGACTGATGTATATGCTTCCCTGAGCTGCCACTTTGCACAGCCGTCGGTGCTGTGGCTAGAGCGCACGCGCGCTTTGGGTAGGGAACAGCTTCCGACTCACGTGTGCCTCAGCCTGCACCAGCACAAAGCCCGGTAATTAGACCTGCTCTGTTAGAGCACCGCCGCTGTTCCTATAGAGATCCAGTCCAAACACTTCTGACCCAGCTGCTGAAACGTGATTCAACATGATTTGAAAATGTAGCTGGGGAAAGTCTGCATGCAAGCTTGAGGGATGACAGAATAATGCATCATCTCACTGTTAATGCATCTCATATAATGTGGGACCTTAACTTTGCAGCTCGAGCTGTGACTGCTGGCTGATAAGTGATCTAATGTGATAATGTTTTAATGCTGCTGCAACGCAAACAATTAAAATGTTTGAGATCAAATCTTCAATATTTTATTTTAAATAATTAGACTCCAAACTGCCATATCAATTGGTGATTGCTGTCATTATTAGACAGAAATGACCAAACTAGTTTGCACACATTCAGTTTAGAGAAAACCCTAGGTTCCAAGTGCTCCACCATCACTTAATACAAACGAAGATTTGTTTTCCTTCTGCTTATTAAAAACAACTGGGAACCTCCTGATCTCTCCATAACAAGAAAAACACATGCTAAAATAACAGTGAAGAAATTGAGATGAATGGGAAGTAAACACAGTGAGTAAACAAATATTGGAGGTGTGTGTCTGATCACACCATGTTGTTGCCCGGATCAGGGCAGGGTAACCTATTCATACACCTCGAGCTGTTCAAAGCTGCGTTGTCAGTAACCATGGCACCCAGCTGTGTGCTCAAACACCTGTGTAGAGATGCTCTATTAATCTGAGGATGGGTGCTTCTCTCCCCACCTTCATCTCACTGTCTCTGTCTAAAAATAAATGTTTAACACAAAATTAAACTTTGACTTTTGATTTGTCTAATCTTCCTAAACTAATCAACAAATCTCCCAAAATATTTAGGTCGTCCCAATTTGTGATTTTATTGTTAAAATAACTAGCAATACATGTACGCATTTACAATCAACATGTCTAACAAACTACAAAGCGTTTCATAAATGACTCCGGGAGGTTAATCTGATTGTCAGTGACACCTGTTCTCTTGTGAAACGTTTACCAGGCTCAACACACTCAAATCTGAGCCCTTGTAATGCTCTCACATGCCTTATGATGATCACATTACTTCTTCCTGTAAGTCATGTGAATTGTTTCTGGCTGGCAGCATATAGCTCTTCTTGTGTAACAGTGCTGACGAAGAATGATCCAATCACTTGGGCTCTCAAATATTTGTGTGACCCTCCTCTGTGCTGGATTTTCATTAACTCATACCTGCTGATTTGCCTCTGTACTTTCCCTTCTTGTCTTTATTGTAACTAAAAGTGAAATCATCTCACTGTCCGTATGTTGGAATCCCCCTTTTGGGACTTCCTCCCCCCTTCCCTCCTCTTCCTTTCCTCCACAGTAGGCTGCCTGCTCTATATGTGGCACTGGAATCCAGTCCAAATGTTTTCCATATTAGTTCAGAGCCTTCTCTGTTTCCAAATAGCATACGAGCTGTGCTTATGGTGAGAGGAGGCCTTGGCAGGGAGGGGAAGGGAAGTTGAGAGAGACAGACGGCAGGCAGGCTTATCCACCCCAAACACTGCAACAGTAAAAGTCGAGCGTACAGAACGAGAAAAAAGAGGAGAAATGGGGCAGGGGCAGAAAGGTTCCTCAGACAAGGAGGAAAAGAAGAAGAAGAAGAGAGATGAAAGCCCAGCGCCAGAGGACAGCCATAAGTGCCGAGTCTGTCGCTTCCCTCTGCTCGTCGCCCTGCTCCAGCTGCTGTTGGGGGCGGCCGTCACAGTCGTGGCCTTCCTTATGTTGGCCATCAGCCCCTCACTCATGGCCCGGGAGACGCCACACTGGGCTGGAATCATTGTAAGCTCCGTCATTACGCTTTAACATCATACACTACAGCTACATGTTTGCATGGATCCCCATTAGTGATATGCCTGCATGACCCTCAGCTATTCCCTCCTTGTGTTGTCCATCTTCCTGTCCTCCACACTGCACGTCAACACTGGCCCTCTCAGCCAGACGCTCACTGTAGGCATGGAAGTCACTCTTTTTGCCATGTTCTAATAAATCTCCATCTGTCATATTCATCTGAATCTACAATCCGTCGCAGTCACACAAGCATGCTCACCTTCTGTTGTTTTTGTTCTATGTCCAACACATCCTCAACATCTGGCCTGATGAGACTGGCAAGCTAACTACAGCATGTCATATTGAAATGGCTTGACTTCAAAACAGAAAGATGAAAGCTAAGCGGAATATTTTATTCAAGTTGATGTGTTTAATAAGGTGTCATTTTAAAAGAGTTACAAGAAAATGCTTAGTTTTCTAAAGACTAGTTGGTCTTGAATTGTCTTAAAATGGAAACTCCTTGCATGTGAACGTTTGTATGGAGGTTGTAGTTTAAGTTGATAAACTTAGGGGAGTCAAAGTGTAAGTTAAAGTTCAGGTACAGGTAAGCGTTGATAGGGGTGGAAAGTTTACACATTTAAGCCCTGGAAGTTTAGTCAATTTGTTTGGAATCACTTAGAAAATGTAAACTAATGATTTGTGTATGCCAGTTATAACCTATAACCTATAAACTGTGCTAAATGAAGTGTCTCGACAGACACCATGTAAAAAGCTAAAAGTACAGTTCAAGTACACTTTACTAAAACTGTTAAATGTTTAAAAAACACTTTAAAGCAAATAAAGGTTAATTGTCTTTTAATATAAAAGGACAACATAGTGTAGTTTACTTATCATCCAATTTGGAATGGGAATTAAGGTCACATTTTTGTGATAGGGAAAAAAATGTGTTGTTCCAGTTTGGATCCTAGCTTATCACAGACGCCATTTGCCTCTCAAAAACATCCCTGGACACCAACATCCCGAGGTAGATCCTCACGAGATTCAGCCAAGTGAAAAACACTGAGGTCATCAAGAATTTTCCAGAGAATCCTGAGTGCTTAAGAACCTGAGAAAAACATTAAAATAAGATGCTGCATGCCAGTCACAAGACTGCAAATACACTGAAGAGAATGTGAGTGTGTCCGTGAGAGAGAGAGAGAGAGAGAGAGAGAGAGAGAGAGAGAGAGAGAGAGAGAGAGAGAGAGAGAGAGAGAGAGAGGCTTAGTGCTGAATCGTGCAATATTAAGAGATACTCATGAAAACCTGGGCAAAAAATACTATCTTGACACAACACTATCTCTACAACACATACTGCACATCACCTACATGTATTAGCAACAGTGAATAAGAGAAAAAGCAAGATAGGATGGTGAAATACTACAAAATGTGTATTATGTTGGTATTTTCATTGCACTAATATGAGTGGCTTTTAAGCAAACATTTACGATATCTTCTGATGTGTTGTTGCAGCTTTGTTTAGTTTCTATCCTGGGCTTAATCCTGTACTGTATCAATTACCACCCTGATGAGAGATCATCTATCCAGTTCATTGCCAAGGTGAGTGTACACACACTGTCTGACACATTGTTTGCAGAAGTGGAAGTTAACATATCAGTTTGTAATAACCTTTTGTAAAAGTCAGGTTCCTTTATTAATGCACAATAGGTCTCTTTGAAATTGACCAGAGGAATATATTGTAGAGTGTTCATTTTACAAAAAGTAATGATCAGACAGGTCAATGTATTTTCTTTGCAGAGAATAAAGTTGAACTCAGTGAGAGTGTGTAATTGTTAGATGGCTGTTCTTACAGTATGGAACTGCAACTTTAAATGAGAGAGAGAAAGGCATTTAGCTGCATTCTTGTTTAAGAGAGCTCTGTGGGGATTCCTGGGATGAGTGCATTCATTAATCCCACTTGATTGTACAGCTTAATTAGCCGTACAACATATGCAGTTGGAATTTCAGGGCAATTAAAATCAGTCCTCCATTGTTTGCTACTGAGAAGCCGGTCCTTGGAAGCAGCAACCTCAGTCAGACTTGCGTTTGCATACCAGGTTCAAATATGTTCATTGGCTGTGAAGAGAGGGCTTCAAAACACTTCAATGGTATTTTGCCTTAAGAACTGCAGCTAATTTGCAAAATAGTCTTTGCATAAAGGCATGATAAAAAGCCAATTCAAAGTGGGTATGTGTCGTTTGGTGTTACATTTTGAAGGTTAGAATTTCAGTGCTATGTGCGCAGTGTTCATTTAAAAACCTCTGTTACCTAATGACCTAACTAGAGTACATTATTCTTTTTAACTTAAACATTTATGACTTTAAAATCAGTTTGTTTATTTCAATGTGCACTTGAAGCAAGGTAAGCGACAACCCAAATAAGTATAAAATGTGTTGCAACTGGAGACAATTCTGAATGTAAGCGTTACTATGTTGACAGATGAAGATTACCCGTTCAACATAGTTTACTGAGTTAAACCCTAAAAGTGTTCTAAGACCACAGATGTACTGTAAACAATAACAATGTAAGTGTTGGCTCCTTTCAGTTTGTCTTTAGGTCAACAGTAAATATATTCCATTTAGTGAAGTACATCCTCTTGTCTATGCACATGCTGTCCATACATTTCCCTCTAACAGACCAAGCTCCAGATTTCACAGCTGTTCCAAAATGAACATAAATGATGTTTCAAATCAATCACCGCTCATCACTTGCATAATTCCATAAGCAGCATGTAACTGAGGGGGAAATACACAGGGCGAACGACGGCTCCCGTTACATAAGCAAAGGATTAAAACAAAGGTTTAGTGTTATTGAGATTGTGCAATTGCATAAACAACACAAAGCCTCTGTCACATTTCAAAACTCTATTTTTTAGACTCTGTTGTTCTCACTAAAGGTGGGAAGCGGCTGTAGCTGCAGGGCAATCTTATATTTTGTGTGTCTCCTCTGCACACAAGAGCTGTACTCCTACACTGAGGGTCAGCCCATGCCTTGTATTGTACATAATCTCTTTGAATGTAACTTGCTGTCGGCACTGAGCCAGCATGACTGTCTCGTAGCTAAGTGAGTTAATCATACAGAATGAAGCAGGGAACAGGCTTTCAGTATAAAGGTTTTCTGATCAAAGCTACAAAGGCTAAACAGCATGACCTCTGACTTGACCTCTGCCCTCCACAGCTCCTGTACTTCGTCCTGTGTACGATCGGCCTGGTCATCTCAGTGCTGGTTATTGCCTTCTCCGGACACCATTACTCTCAGACCGGCAGCTTCAGGTGTCAGCAGGCGGGCGAGGACTGCGTGTGCAGACTGGATCAAGAGGACCCAATAGCTCGCACCTTCACCTATGAGGGAGTCAGTGACTGCGAGGTGATCACCGGGACCCTCACCCTCTACTTCCTGCTGCAGATCATTCTCAACCTGCTCCAAGCAGTGGTGTGTGCCATCGGTGCCTTCATCATGTGGAAGCACCGCTACCAGGTGTTCTTCGCCGGCCTTCAGATCGGCTCCTCCTCCTCCCAGTGGCAGAACGTTTAACACGCCCATGACAGAGTTGAAAGATGACTCTGGTCAGGGCGGAGGGTAATACCTTCAGCGTGAGTGACGGGACATGTGCCTTTTTGGTTTGTGCCTAAGCTTGTTTTCATTGATGTCAATTTATATTAACCTTTTGTGATAGTTTTTCTATAATAGCTTTTTGCACACATTTTGTATACCATATAAGTCATATTTTTTCCAGTTGGCAATGTTATAATGTAGATGAAGAGATACAATACAGCTGCTTTGCTTTGAGAAGTAAGTGTTCCACTTGTGACTTATTCATGTTTCTAATTATCTGGATATGTACTGCTCATATGCAATATGTTGACAAACTAGGTCACAACACTGAAACCACTTTAGTTCATCTGTTATGCACTTTTCCAAAAAAGTACACGTCTTGTTTTGGGTTTGAATTATTAAGAATACATAATTAGTTGCTATATTGATGCTTTACAGTAAGTCGCGCACTACTTTGTTGTCACATTATAGTTTGAAAAATGTAAATCAATGGCAGAGTTTCACACATTACACATGTCAAGTAGAGCTTTTATTCCGATAGCAAACATTTGTAAGACATTTATCTTAATCAAAAAGTAGATTATTGCTTTTCAATTACAACATTTATCAGATTTAAGCACATTTAACACACACAAAAGCAACTAGGTGGATTCAACTATAAATAACCTGTTTTGTTTCCTATGCAGCTTTGTATATTGCACGATAATATAAATAATTATTGGTGAAGTACTTTACAGCTGATAGAAGAACCCCCTGTGATAGAAACGGTCCAGTAAAATGCACTAAGAACAGCTCCTGACAGCAGTAACACAAGCTGGGTGGTGTGCTCTTCGTGAGGCTGGATCCTGACATGAACTGGGCTGTGAAGGTAGAAGCCAGGCCAGCAGCCAGCATGACTCAAACAGCCTGTAGGAGTCAAACTACTGCAGCCGCAAAGGGGGAGGGGGGGGAAGGGGCCGGGGGGAGGCAAGGGGGACTCAGACAGGCAGCTGCATGGAGGAAACTAAATAATCTCGCTGTGTTTACGTTTCAGGTGTTTTCATTTAGGTATTACAGAACTGAAGGAGCGAAACAGCCAAAACATTTGAGCTTTTCTTTTCTAATATGATTTCCCCATAGCAGAGGTTTTATGTTGTGCTCACTCATCTCAGTTGCTGACTGAGGCTAGCTGCCTATACATGCTCAGCAGAGTTTCCGCAGAAAACAAGATGAATGAAGTGCTCGGAAGCAGAATGTAATTAGTGTGCAATCTGTTTTGTCAAAGATTAAAAAAGGTTGATTTAACGGGTATGATGTTAAAATATTGTTTATTTTTTACAGAATGTGGTTTGAACAAAGAAGCCAATAAGCAAATATCATCTTTCAACAAAGCTATACTGTTTTTTGTGACAAATACAAATCTTTGTTTCAGTTAATACGATTTATTTTATGTTTTCTGTCACCACACAGACACAAAAAGAGCCAACTCAGGTAACATCACTCATATTTGAATACATATATTTGCTTTAGTTGTCAATTGTATTATTATTTGTAAAGACTGAATAACTGAGCAGAATAAGAACCACAAAGCATCATTTAAACTGTATAGTATATTGTTATAAACAAGAACTCAGATACTTGAAGTTATAAAAAATGTAAGAAATACAAATAATTCTCTCTAAGGTAAACATATAAAGGTGCATAACAGAAAGAGTCAAGTAAAGCAAAAGTACCTCATCCTATTACTTAAGTACAGTTACAGTACTTACATAACCTTGATCATATTATAACAAAATGTTTCAATCACTATCTCAATCTATAACTATGTAGTTCTTAATATACCGTTTATATAGTTCTTCTTATGACTAATCTGTGGTACCACCAAGAGACAAAGGCGCCTCTGTCTGGGCCTGGCAGTGATCTACTGTGATCATAACTGTCAATTTATTCAAGTTAACTGTGACTGCTCAGTTTTTTTCTTTGGAGACATTATGAGAATGTCAGAGCTCCGTTTGACAATACTCAGCAGAGAATCACCAGGATAATAAAAGATGTGGCGAATTGCTTTGTAAATTATTAACAAATTCTGTTAAATCGTGCATTTCACACATTGTACTTTCTGCATCTACATCTAATGGAGGGCCAGTTCAGTTGCAGCGTTTTTCCGTGTGATTGTCCAGTGTTTTCATGTTGATGCATCATGTGACTACAACAGCCTCAATCTCACCAGACACAGGAAGTCACATGCCAGTCATCACAGGGGCATGTTTATTTTAAAAAAATGACAGTGAGAGAGAACTTCCTCCCTCCTCCCCGGTCAGTCACAACTCTCTGTGTGGCCAATTGATCTTTCAAGGCAAAACACGCAGATTGATATCAGATGGTGGGGACGCATGCTGTTAGTCTTTACAAGAGATTGCAGGAGACAGAAGATCAATACGTGTATTGACACAAAACATGAAAACTTTCTCAGGAAATTGAAAACAACCGACCGAACTCTCACCCAGTATTCTAATTAACGAGCTTCAACTGTTGGTTTTATGTGTATATCAACATGTTTATAACCAGTTGAATATGACTATAGTTTAGTGTAAGGCAAGACACTAAAGGCAAAAAAGTGTATTTTGCTTCCATGAGATACAGTACATTCAGGTGTTCATTTTACTTTGTCTATTTGCATCTGTAGATTTTTTTATTTTAGCCTATTTATATACAGGTTTAACCCTGTTAACCTGTTGTGGCTGGTATTGCATTTTAAAATACATTTCTTTGAAGTCTGTTTTCTCATAACAAGTTTATTCTAATCCTGTGAACAAGAAATCTCCACTTCAGTTACATAACCAACGCTTTCCAGTTTCATTCCCAGCTATAGGAGTTTATTCATATATAATTTAAAGCCTGACTTAAAGGTCCCATGTCATGGCCATTTCTACTGATCATAATGCCATTGTTGAGGTATACTAAAATAGATTTATACTGTGTCATTTTCTAAACTCACATTGGTTTCTCATACAGCATCTCTGTAAAGTATGTGTATTACTATTCACCGGTATTCACTCTCTGTCCTAAACGGCTTGTTGGAGCTCCCTCCCCCGATCCCTGTGAGCCCAGTGTGCTCTGATTGGTCGGGACGTTGAGAGGCTCGTTGCTGCGATCTGTTCCGCTCCTCGCAGCAGATCGCAGCAACGACCCTCTCGGCGATACAGCGAGAACAAGTGAAACTCATCCTGAGCACACACAAGCACTCACAGCTGAAGTAAAAACAATAAGTGTGGCTTGATATTGAGTAAGAAAAAGGTTTATAACGCTGTGAGCATGGGTCTGCGGAGAGCATTTCTCCGCGATCCCAACGTTGTAGCCCGAAAAACGTTTACCCATTTAAACAGTCGTGGTAGATACCTTGTTTGTTTTAAACATCATAAATACACAAACAACAATGAATACTTACAGGTTGTGTACCCGAATCTCCCGCTGGTCCAAACAAAGCAGGAACAGCATCGTTCTTCAGTGCCCTACGCTGTACATATCGCTGAAAGCTTTGTTTCGTGAAAGGCTGGCAGAGGGTGTGGCCTCTGGGTATCCCCACGTCAGAGTACCCAGGAAGTAAACAATGGAAAATGACAAATCTCCAACGAGGCGTTTTGGGGCAGCATAGACTGTGTTAGAGTTTTACTCGCTACAGGGTGTACTTTGAGAGGTTGTGACTCTGCAGACCGTTTACATGCATAAAAACCTTCATAACACACAAGGGGATGGGTAATAACCGGAAAAGCATGACATGGGACCTTTAAATAAAATGCTAAGTATATTCTGTTATGGAATGATAAGAAGCTATATCAAGGCAAGGCAAGGCAAGGCAAGTTTATTTATATAGCACTTTTCAACACAAGGCAATTCAAAGTGCTTTACAAAAAATGAAAGAGATTAAGAAAATGGCATTTAAAATCAGTCATTAAAAAGAAAAGCTAATAAAATAAACATTAAAAGAAAAAATACATGGATAAAAGTTACAGTGCAGTCAATTAAACATTAAAAGAAAAAAAGTACATGGATAAAAGTTACAGTGCAGTCTAAGATATGAATAGTTCAATTAAAAGCAGCGACAAAAAGAAAAGTCTTCAGCCTGGATTTAAAAGTAGTCAGAGTTGTAGCGGACCTGCAGGTTTCTGGGAGTTTGTTCCAGATATTTGGAGCATAATAACTGAACGGTGCTTTACCATGTTTAGTTCTGACTCTGGGGACAGAAAGCTGACCAGTCCCTGAAGACCTGAGAGATCTGGATGGTTCATAATTTAGCAGGAGGTCAGAAATGTATTTTGGGCCTAAACCATTCAGTGCTTTATAAACCAGCAGCAGTATTTTGAAATCTATTCTTTGACACACAGGAAGCCAGTGTAAAGACTTCAGAACTGGAGTGATGTGATCCACTTTCTTAGTGTTAGTGAGGACTCGAGCAGCGGCGTTCTGAATTAGCTGCAGCTTTCTAATAGATTTTTAGTGAGACCTGTGAAGACACCATTGCAGTAGTCGAGTCTACTGAAGATAAAAGCATGGACAAGTTTTTCCAAATCCTGCTGTGACATTAGTCTTTTAATCCTAGATATATTCTTTAGGTGATAGTAGGCTGATTTAGTAACTGTTTTAATGTGACTGTTGAAACTCAGGTCAGAGTCCATGACTACACCTAGATTTCTGGCTTTATCTGTTGTTTTGAACATTGCAGACTGAAGCTCAGCGCTAACTTTTATACGTTCTGCCTTGGCTCCAAAAACCATTACCTCAGTTTTATCTTTGTTTAATTGGAGAAAATTCTGACACATCCAGTCATTGATTTGTTCAATGCACTTACTCAGTGTTTGAATTGGAGCATAGTCTCCTGGTGAAATTGTTACGTAAATTTGTGTGTCATCTGCATAGCTATGGTAACTTATTTTGTTGTTCTTCATTATCTGAGCCAGTGGTAGCATGTAGATGTTAAAGAGAAGAGGCCCCAAGATGGAGCCTTGAGGAACCCCACATGTCATATTTGTCAACTCAGATGTGTATTTACCTATAGAAACAAAGTTGTTTCTGTCCTTTAAGTAGGATTCAAACCAATTTAGAACTGTTTCCGAAAGTCCCACCCAGTTCTCCAGTCGGTCGAGTAATATGTTGTGGTCAACAGTGTCAAACGCAGCACTGAGATCTAATAATACTAACACTGAAGTTCTGCCACTGTCTGTGTTTAAGTGGATGTCATTAAAGACCTTTACAAGAGCAGTCTCAGTGCTGTGGTTTGGACGAAAGCCTGACTGGAACACATCAAAACAGTTATTTAAATGCAAGAAATTACTCAACTGTTGAAAAACAACTTTTTCAATGATTTTACCTAGAAATGGCAGGTTTGATATGGGCCTGTAATTGTTCATTACTGAAGCATCTAGATTATTCTTTTTTAAGAGCGGTTTAATGACTGCAGTTTTCAGGGCCTGTGGAAAAATACCTGAGTGAAGAGATTTGTTTACTATATGAAGTAGATCTGAGGCCATACAAGGCAAAACATCTTTGAAAAATCCTGTTGGAATAATATCAAGGCAGCAAGAGGAGGATTTCAGAAGTTGAATCAGACATTCCTTCTGTAATAACCTTTGGTTCTTGTACGTGAAAAAAGTGAATTTTAATCTATTGATTTATCCAGTGTTCAGATTTCAGTTCTACAGATGTTTGCTAAAGTTTGCAAAAAAGTAATAAGATAATGCCTTATTTGAATAAAAAAGAACACAATTTCAGGGATCTTGTCAAATAAAAACAATCGTCTGAATGTAAGTAATAGCTGATAAACGTTTATGGCGGTATCTACCCATGAATAGGTACCTGTAGTGTCTCCTACAGTTTATATGTATGACATTTCCTGCAAGAAGTCCTGTTAGTCCGGTGCTTTAAGTGCATCAGAGTCACATCACCTGACTCACTCTCACTGCCTGCAGCCATAGAGGCATTGGGACATTGCCTTGTATTTAGTGACCTTCTCTGGGTGTTTTCTCACTCTCGCTACTGAACAGTCACACACAGGCTATGCATGTAACTGTGGTTTGGAAAGAGATTTAAAAAAAATTGTGATCCAAATGTGTCAAAGGTAGTGTTCATAAAGTAAATAATACACCCCTCACGTGCATTCAAAAGGTCCAAAGTGTACTGAGAGAATGAAATGAAGCAGACCATCTTATGTTATTATTCTAAGCACAACCCTAAAGTAATTTAAAATGTCCTTTTGATAAGTGGATCACAATGTTCAATGTTTTTGCTCAATGATTTAGAGCATCAAAAAAA